GTAACCCTTCATGCCCTCCTTCCCACCACCCCTGGGAACCTCTATCTACTTTCTGTTTCTATGAATGTGCCTATTATAGATACCTAATGTAAGTGGGACCACACAGTATCTGTCCTTTTGTATTTTGCTTGTTTCACTTACTGTAACGTTCCATCCATGTTGTATCATGTATCAAAATTTCATTCCTCTAGGTTGTCACAAAGCACCGGGCTGATCTCCCTGTGCTGTGCAGCAGCTTCCCAATAGCCATCCATTTTACGTTTGGTAGTGTGTATATGTCAGTGCTACTCTCTCACTTCATCCCAGCTTCTCCTTCCCCCATGTCTCCATGCCCTCAAGTCCATTCTCTATGTCTGTGTCTTTATTCCTGCCCTGCCACTAGGTTCACTGGTACTGCTTTTTAAAATTCCATATATATGCATTAGCATACAGTATTTGTTTTTCTCTTTCTGACGGGATATGGGGATATATGTATACATATAGCTGATTCACTTTGTTGTACAACAGAAACAAACACAACATTGTAAAGCATTTACACTCCAATAAAGATGTGAAGAAAAATAAAATAAAATAAAACTAAGACCCACCAGGGACAGACGTGGTAATATGTATATGTAAAAAAAAAAAAAAAAAAAAGAACTTCATTCCTCTTTATGGCTGAAGTATTCCATTCTATGTATTACACGTCATTTGTTGATGGACACGAGTTGTTTCCAATTTTGTCTACTGCAAGTTAATACTGCTGTGAACATTACCATACAATTGTCCCAGTCCCTGCTTTCAGCTATTTTGATTATAAACCTAGAAAAAGACTTGCTGGACCACATGACAATGCAATGTTAAACTTTTTGAGGAACTGCCAAACTGTTTTCCACAGCAGCTGCACCATTTTAGATTCCCACCAGCAACACACAAGGCTTCCAATTTCTCCGCATCCAATACTTTTTATTTTCAGGGTTTGCTTGATCAAACCCATCCTTATCAGTGTGAAGTGGTATCTCACTGTGGCTTTGATTTGCATTTTCCTAATGACTAATGGATGTTGAACATTCTCTCATGTGCTTATTGACTATTTGTATATTTTCTTTAGAGAAATGTCTCCTCAAGTTCTCTGCCTATTTTTTGAGTTGTTTTTTTTTTTAACATCTTTATTGGAGTATAATTGCTTTACAATGGTGTGTTAGTTTCTGCTTTATAACAAAGTGAATCAGCTATACATATACATATATCCCCATATCTCCTCCTCTTGCATCTCCCTCTCACCCTCCCTACCCCACCCCTCTAGGTGGTCACAAAGCACCAAGCTGATCTCCCTGTGCTATGCAGCTGCTTCCCACTAGCTATCTATTTTACATTAGGTAGTATATGTAAGTCCATGCCACTCTCTGACTTCATCCCAGCTTACCCTTCCCCCTTCCCATGTCCTCAAGTCCATTCTCTAGTAGGTCTGTGTCTTTATTCCTGTCCTGCCCCTAGGTTCTTCATAACCATTTTTTTTTTTTAGATTCCATATGTATGTGTTAGCATACAGTATTTGTTTTTCTCTTTCTGACTTACTTCACTCTGTATGACAGACTCTAGGTCCATCCACCTCACTACAAATAACTCAATTTCGTTTCTTTTTATGGCTGAGTAATATTCCATTGTATATATGGGCCCCATCTTCTTTATCCATTCATCTGTCGATGGACATGTAGGTTGCTTCCATGTCCTGGCTATTGTAAATAGAGCTGCAATGAACACTGTGCTACATGACTCTTTTTGAATTATGGTTTTCTCAGGGTATATGCCCAGTAGTGGAATTGCTGGGTCATATGGTAGTTCTGTTTTTAGTTTTTTAAGGAACCTCCATACTTTTCTCCATAGTGGCTGCATCAATTTACATTCCCACCAACAGTACAAGAGGGTTCCCTTTTCTCCACACCCTCTCCAGCATTTATTGTTTGTAGATATTTTGATGACGGCCATTCTGACTGGTGTGAGGTGATACTTCATTGTAGTTTTGATTTGCATTTCTCTAATGATTACTGATGTTGAGCATTCTTTCATGTGTTTTGGCAATCTGTATATCTTCTTTGGAGAAATGTCTACTTAGGTCTTCTGCCCATTTTTGGATTGGGTTGTTTGTTTTTTGATATTGAGCTGCATGAGCTGCTTGTAAATTCTGGAGATTAATCCTTTGTCAGTTGTTTCATCTGCAAATATTTTCTCCCGTTCTGAGGGTTGTCTTTTTGTCTTGTTGATGGTTTCCTTTGCTGTGCAAAAGCTTTTAGGTTTCATTAGATCCCATTTGTTTATTTATTTTTTTATTTCCATTTCTCTAGGAGTTGGGTCAAAAAAGGATCTTGCTGTGATTTATGTCATAGAGTGTTCTGCTTATGTTTTTCTCTAAGAGTTTTATAGTGTCTGGCCTTACATTTTGAGTTTAATCCATCTGGAGTTTATTTTTGTGTATGGTGTTAGGGAGTGTTCTAATTTCATTCTTTTACATGTAGCTGTCCAGTTTTCCCAGCACCACTTATTGAAGAGGCTGTCTTTTCTCCATTGTATATTCTTGCCTCCTTTATCAAAGATAAGGTGACCATATGTGTGTGGCTTTATCTCTGGGCTTTCTATCCTGTTCCATTGATCTATATTTCTGTTTTTGTGCCAGTACCATACTGTCTTGATTACTGTAGCTTTGTAGCATAGTCTGAAGTCAGGGAGCCTGATTCCTCCAGCTCTGTTTTTCTTTCTCAAGATTGCTTTGGCTATTCTTGAGTTGTTTCTTTGCTGTTGTTGAACTGTAGGAGTTCTCTATGTATTCTGGATATCAATCTCTTTTCAGATATATGATTAGCAAATATTTTCTCCTGTCAATTGTCTTCACTCTGTTGATAGTGTCCTTTGATACACAGAAGTTTTTAAGTTTGATGAAGTCCCAATTTATCTATTTTTCCCTTTATTGCCTGTGCTTTTTTTTTTTTGGCGGTACGTGGGCCTCTTACTGCTGCGGCCTCTCCCGCTGCGGAGCACAAGCTCCAGATGCCCATATTGCCTGTGCTTTTGATGCCACTTCCAAGGAATCACTGCTAAATCCAATATCATGAAAATTATCCTCTATGTTTTTTTTTTTTTTTTTTTTTTTTGCAGTATGCGGGCCTCTCACTGTTCTGGCCTCTCTCGTTGCGGAGCACAGGCTCCGGACACACAGGCCCAGTGGCCATGGCTCACGGGCCCAGCCACTCCGCAGCATGGGCGATCTTTCCGGACCGGGGCACGAACCCATGTCCCCTGCATCGGCAGGCAGACTCTCAACCACTGCGCCACCAGGGAAGCCCCCCTATGTTTTCTTTAAAGAGTTTTATAGTTTTAGTACTTGAGCTTAGGTTTAAGTTTAGATTTAAGCTTGAGTTCATTTTTGTATATGGCATAATAAAGTAAGGGTTCAACTTCATTCTTTTGCATGTATATATCCAGTTTTCTCAGCATGATTTGTTGAAAAGACTCGTTTCCCCTTTGAACAATCTTGGCTTCCTTGTCAAAAACCAATTGACCATATTATGTGAGGGTTTATTTTGGGGATACTATATTCTATTCGTCTTTATGTCTGTCCTTATGCTAGTATCACACTGTTTTGATTACTGTCATTTTGTATTAAGTTTTAAAATTAGGAGATGTGAGTCCTCCAACTTCATCTCAGTACTATCATCTTAATAATACTAAGTCTTACAAACCATGAATATGAGATGTCTTTCATTTATTTATGTCTTTAACTTCTTTCAGAGATGTTTTATAGTTTTCAGTGTACAAGTCTTTTGCCTCCTTGGTTAAATTTATTCCTAAGTAATCTATTCTTTTAATGTTATTGTAAGTGCTTTCTTAATTTCCTCTTCAAGATTGTTCATTCCTAGCTTATGGGAATGCAACTATCTTTGCATGCTGATTTATCTTGCATCTTTGCTGAATTCATCTATTAGCTCTCTCAGCGTTTTTTTGGTGGAATCTTTAAGTTTTCTACATATAAGATCATATTTGCAAGCAGAGATAATTTCACTTCTTCCTTTCCAATTTGGATGCCTTTTGTTTCTTTTTCTTGCCTAACTGCTCTCGCTATGACTTTCCAATACTATGTTGAATAAAAGTGGTGGAGGTGAGCATCCATGTCTTGTCCCTGTTCTTAGGGATAAAACTTTTAGTCTTTTACCACTGAGTATAATGTCAGCTGTGGGTTTGTCATATATGGCCTTTGTCATGTTGATCTACAAAGGTTTTTAACTATGCTATATTATAGTTCTCCTAACAAGAAAAGGAAAGAATCCTGAAAGTTGGAAATGATGTCTTCAGTAAGAGGTTACCAGTGTTATAAAGAGCGATCATCCAAAGTCCTAACACAAAAATGAGGATACAGAATTCACTGGCATTCTGCACAGAGCTTAGGGATGTTGCATTGCCATACCTCACATGATACTAAGTAAGGCACTAAATTCTGGCTGCTGAAATCACAGACTATATAGACACGTACACATCCCTTTCTGTCTTAGTCAGCTTGGGCTGCAACAACAAAGTACCACAGACTCAATGGCTTAAATAACAGAAAATTATTTTCTCCCAGTTCTGGAGACTGGAAGTCTGAGATCAGATCAGGGTGCCAGCATGGCTGAGTGTTAGTGAGAACTCTCTTCCTGGCTAGTAGATGGCTGCCTTCTTCCTGCATCCTCACATGGTAGAGAGAGCACAATCTCTCTCTTCCTGTTCTTATAAGGCCACTAATCCCATCATGAAGGCCCCACTCTAATGATCTAATCTAACCCTAATTAACTCCCAAAGGCCATCACACTGGGGAGTTATGGCTTCAAAATATGGATTTTAGGGGAACACAAACATTCAGTCCATAACACCTTCTTTCAGGAAAACAATGATGAAACTAACAGTAGTATTCAATGTAGGCACATACATAACAATAGGGTTAAGTTAGCTATCACAGTGCTCACAGTAATTCAAGCCTTACAGATACTTACAAAATTTGGAGACAAGTTATGCTTATAAAGCTGAAGAGTGGAATGAAGCAGATTGGAAACAAGACTGGAAACCAACACTTCCTTTCCCAATTTATTATCTGTCATTCGTCTCTGGCTACTGGCCACTTGAACAGTCCATTTATCCATATCTGCTATAATACAGACAGCTTCTGCTATTGGTTCATCCAATACTGGATGCTGGGGAAAAAAAGAAGACATCATCTTATGATAAATAAAGTTTTCAAAGATAATGTTAATGGGATGGGCAAGGAAGAGATACTAGACAAAAACAAAATAAAAGAATATGAAATTCTGAGAGCTACTGCCAAAGAAACCTTGACAGTGAAGAGTGAAATAGTAAAGTAACTTAATAACAAATACCCTGAGATATTTTACAGAAGTCATCATAGGTAGAGATTCATTACCAGAACTTTGTATTCTTTAATTCAGAACTTGAATTTCACCAGTATTTTGATCATTCATTCATTCAACAAATTTACTGAGTGCCAACTATGTGCCAGGCAACTGAAAGAAAATGTTTTTACCTTGAGAGAGCTAAATATTTTAAAAATCAGTAGGAAATAAATTCATATGAAGAAGTCAATGATAAGGTTCTGTGCTAACTACCCCATCCAGTCAGGCATTAATTTCCTTGAGCACCTCAGAGGCTATCCCTTGATTATCCCTTCCTGGCTACATATGCCAGGTTTTTTCTGTTTTACAGATGTATATCCAGAGTATGGATATAACCGTTCAAAAGGAGACAAATCAACAGGTACTAACATGTCTCTCCAGGATCCATGGTTAAATGGAAAAAAAAAAAGTCACTACACACACACACACACACACACACACACACATACACATTATACCCCAATTATGTTTTTAAAAATCAGGGGACTTCCCTAGTGGTCCAGTGGGTAAGACTGCACTCCCAATGCAGGGGATCTGGGTTTGATCCCTGGTCAGGGAACTAAATGTCACATGAATGCTGCAACTAAGAGTCCGAATGCCACAACTAAGACCCACCACAGCGAAAATAAATAAATATTTTTTTAAAAAAAATTCCCATCTAAATGCAAATGTATAGAAAAAAGAATGAAAATACTCAAATCAAACTATCATAAAGACCTTTGTGAGGAAGTATGGAATATTAAGAGTATGAAGAAGGATTTTTACTTTTTGCTTTGTATAGATTGTTTAAATTTCTATCAGAAGCATTCACCTAAAGGATACTTTTATAATTAGAAAATTTAACACATAGTGAAAAAAAATTTTTTAACTCACATATACGGATAAAAGGACCACAGGCATATGGCTGTGCCCTTGGTTTCCCACAGTTTACACACAAAGACCAAAAATGACAATTAAGTACACAGCACCACCATAAGAAAGAAATGCTCAATACTTTAATTTTTTTTGTATTTGGAAAGGTAAGGATTTCTTCACCACTGGACAAATGAATTAACAACAATAAGACTGAAATATAAACTACAATCTTGAACCCAATGGCCTTTTTCCTTTATAACTTTTACTATTACTAAAACTTCATAGCAAGACTGTAAGTTTATTCCTGGATAAACCCAAGTTTGGCAACCCCAAAGGATATCCCTTTGCCCAGTTAATAACCACTTTGAATAAAGCTTTTTGCTCAATGCTAAGGAAACAAAGAGAAGGGAGCTCACAGTCTTATGAGGGAGATAAAAAGAAATACATGTGGCTATGAAAATACTTGCGTAATAGACAAAATAGTAACCAAGTGCTGTGGTACCAGAGGAGGGCAAGAATGGGTTCTGTGTGACTGGTAGTTACACAGTGGAAGGGACATAGGGATATGACACTGAATAGGATGAATAGGATTCTTAGCGAAAAATGGGAGAGGAATATGGATAATTCTGTAAGAGGGAATATCATGAGAAGACTCGAAGATAGAAGTAGATGGATGTAACCAAATTTGTGAAAAATGATACGGAGAAGTGGGGAAGAAGAGAACGGCAAGTAAGAAGCGTGGAAAGATACATTGTGAAGACTTTCCATGGAACTCTAAACTTTATATTTGTTTTTATAAAATCGTACTTAAATATTTCTTATTCAACTCTTACCAAGGATATAACACTTTTCTATTCATCAACTTCATTACTGAAACATAATTTTGGAAATGGTATATATACCTAAAGATGTAAGGTATATCTTACTTTTTTAAGAAACAATAGTGAATATATATTTAACATAACTACCTCTGTGGTTATAAAAGAAAAATAAGACAGGAGATATGATCAAATAATTAAAGTGGAAAACAAACTGTTAAAGGAAGATACTACTTTCAGAAGCAGTGGGCATCTTTAGGAGATGAGAATTATGATGGGTGTTCATCTACTATCCTCACAAGGAAATGTCTAAACCGATAATGGGGAAACTGCTGTGAAATACACCTTTTATTTTAAAGGGTTAAAAAGCACTTTAGAAATTAACTTTATAGCTCCTCAATCAAAAAGTCACGTGGCTAAGATTTTAAAAGCTATTTTTTTGGTAAGAAAAAGGAAAATGAGCCCACATCAGTAGTTTCCCAAGAAAGAAGGGTCTAAATCCCAAGTTTGAGATTAGAAATAATCCAAATCAAACTCACTTTAGGAGCTGTTAAAGAAAAAAGGGGGCAGTGCCAGTCATTCATTCTGAAATTGCTTGTTTTCACACAATGGATTATTATAAGCAATGTCCTAATCGGATAAAATTTCAATTGAACCAATTTCAGTCCTTTCACTTCATCATCAACTTCTGGAAAAAACAGCCTACACCCCATGGGAGCATATTCTCAACAAACATATTATAGTAGTCTCCTCCACAATACTAAGTTTGTATCCAGCCTCAAATACTTCCGAGTCACAAAAGAGGAAGTATATGAATGGGAATTCATATGAATCTAAAGTACATGAATGGGAATTCATATGAACCTAAATTCAGTGAATCTAAAGCTTAATATTTTTTAAACCTTTTTCTCTGAGTTCCATAACTTCTACAATACGAATGTATCCACAATCCTACCAGCCCTTTTTCTCTCCCAGACATTTCCAGAATCTCAATACATAAACTCCCAAATCCTTAAGTATCTCCTCTCTAGCAGATACTCCTAGATCTCCACCACATTACAAAACCTGATTTTTTCAGTTGCCTTCTAGGCATTCAAACATGGCCTTGCAGAATGCACTTTTAAACTCAAAATTTACCAAATCAACTTCAGTGTACCTTCCTCAAAGCTAGGCAGTTTTCTTCAGTTATCTTTTTTTTAAAAGAAGAGAGCGAACCCCAATGTTGTAAAGGGAACAGGTTTTAGGGACATTACAAACTGCTGTTCAAACTAGTATTGTCTTTTGGAAAAGAAACCACAAAACATGCAACAAGAACATGAAAATACTTCTAATCTTAAAAACTGGCCAGTAACTTCATTTCTGGGAATCTAGCCTAAAGAAATCATCTTAAATTCATAAAACACAGCAAGAGTATCAGTGTTATTTATAACAATAAAATGAAGAAAAGTTGTTTTAAAAGTTGAGCAACAGAGAATAGAGAACACAGAAATAAACCCATGTATATATGCTCAATTAACTTATGACAAAGGACCCAAGAATATACAATGGAGGAAGGACAGTTTCTTCAATAAATGGTGCTTAAAAAACTGAACAGGGACTTCCCTGGTGGCACAGTGGTTAAGAAGTCGCCTGCCAATGCAGGGGACACGAGTTTGAGTCCTGGTCTGGGAAGATCCCACATGCCGTGGAGTACCTAAGCCCTTGCACCACAACTACTGAGCCTGCATTCTAGAACCTGGGAGCCACAACTACTGAGCCGGCGTGCTGCAGCTACTGAAGCCTGCGTGCCTAGAGCCCATGCTCCACAACAAGAGAAGCCACCACAATGAGGAGCCCACACACCACAACGAAAAGTAGCCCCCGCTCGTCACAACTAGAGAAAGCCCACGCGCAGCAACGAAGGCCCAACACAGCCAAAAATAAATAAATTAATTAATAATAAAAAAAAAAAACTGAACAGCCACATTGCAAAAGAATGAAACTGGACCACTACCTTACACCATACACAAAAGTCAACTCATATGCTATATGAGTACTATATACCATGACCAAGTGGGTTTTTTCCCACCTAGGAATACAAAGATTGGATTAACATCTAAAAATCCATCAATGTAATCTATCATATTAACAGTTTAAAGAAGAAAAACCACGATCATTTCAATAGACACAGAAAAAGTATTTGACAAAACCCCACACTCATTCATGATTTAAGGGCGTGGGGGACAGAAAACTCAAAACACTAGGAATAGAAGGGAACTTTATCCACCTGATAAAGAGCATCTTATAAGAATCTAACAGCTAACATCATGCTTAATAATTAAAGGCTCAATGTTTTCCTCCTAAGAAAAGGAACAAGACAAGGATGTCCACTATCAGCACTTCAATGCAATACTGTACTGAAGGTTCTAGCCTGTACAATCAGGCAAGAAAAAGAAAAAGAGGCACCCAGACTGGAAAGGAAGATAACATGAGCCGGTATGTAGAAAATCTTAAAGAATCCACACAAAAAAACTATGAGAAGAGTTCATCAAAGTGGCAGGATACAACAGCAATATACAAAAATCAATTGCACTATATACCAGCAATGAAAATTAATTCCATTCACATTTAAGCATTTGCAATATTTTGAAATTATAAATAACCTAGTGATGAACATCTATGAATACATACAGTATTTTCTGATTTCCAATTTGATAGATTCCTGGAACTCTCTACTTGCTTTCACAATGACAGGTACAAACATGCAGGTTTTTGCATATAAAGTGATGGATTTAGAAAACAACAATTGTATTACACACTGAAGTGTTACCAAAAATAAGGCAATTTTGGGTTCTACTGGTTAACAGAGTTCGTCCTAAATAAATTTAAGAGCAGTGAAGGTCACTTACCTGCACAGCATGAGACAAATCTGACACTAAACACTGACGGAGCCTCTCATCATTCCCAATTCCTTGAAGAACAAAGTCAGGCACATAAGAAGAGCAGTAGCCACCCAGCAAGGACCTCCCAAAGTTGGCAATATTGGGCTGAACAGCACTCACTTCAATTAACTTTGACCTGCAAGAAAAGTTCCAAAAGAAGGCATACCTAATCAGTAATAAATATATTTTACCAACACACACACAAAAAATTGGACTCTACTAGTCCACACTTCCAGTACCATCATTCTTTATAAAATATACTAATAGTAAAATCATCCTTAAATAAAAACTGGCTAAAAACAAAAAACCGGCTTAAGGGCTCAATGAGACCACAAAATACTCCTTCCTATCCAAAAAGGGTCTGTAATGGACAACTCTGTAATGAGGTGAACATAAATCTTTCATAACAGACTTTAGGAATGCTGTCCCTTGTGTATGTAACACATTCTTAATACAATCAAATTATGGAAACCATCATCCAAAGCCAAGTATAAATAACTCACAAACCCAAAGCTTGGTATATAACATTTCTCATGTATGAATCTTTTCCTTGTATTCTTGACCAAGAGTATCCATTCTATGCTTTCCTCTTATTTCCAAACTTATTCCTAACAGCTATTTCCTACCTTCTCTCAGTGATTACCTCTCCCTAGTTGTCAGGCTCAGCACAGGTCCTTTCCGGGCAGCATAACTCACTGCTAAATGAAAACTCCTAGGCAGTAAGCAATCTCCCACACACCAACACAACTTTTCTCTAATGCCTTCACAAAGCTTTTCTGGGGCACCTGTGGGGCTTAGCCTTTAATCCTTCTTCTAAGTAGGAGCATGTGATAATAAAAGAGTATTTGTCCAGAACAATGGTCTCTTCTTTTATATTAGCTACTACCAACTTTCAGAGATGAGCTAAACAAAAGAATGGTACATATTTTTATAGGTTCTACAAAAGGTTAAAACTTCGTACTTACCCAGGAAAAGGTATCTCATCTTCTTCTGCCCAATCTTCTTGCTCTCCTCCATAATAACTGCTTACTTGTCTAGTCACATCATGACCTGTATCTTCACTTTCACTATCCCCAAGGGCACTATCTGAACTTTCATTTCTTGGAATGTCCCATTCAGCTCCCACAGCAACTTTCTTCTCTGAACTCTCTTTATCCCCATGGGGGACAAGAATGGAGAGTGTATCTCTTTGGTCTTGCTGAGGAAAGCAGGTTTTACATGAATCTTGGTGAACTGTTCCTACACATTTGCAAAATTCATTGTTCTGTTTGCTATTTTTTGTATAAAATCTTTTTGAAAACTCTAACATACAGCAGTGTTCTTTACTGTCTGTACTTGTTTTAACTGGAATATCATCAATAGTCCTGGTTTCAATTGAATCATCATTAAAATATTCATCAAATAAGCTCATGCTTTCGGGGTCTGAATGATTCCAGCAGGGAAGTTCACAGGGCTCACCAGATACCATGTTCAGTTTATCAGGCTCTCCAGATTTAGCTGTTTGTGCAGTTTCTTGATGCTGATCAACAGCCCCTCTTTCCTCCTTCGGTGATTTGGTGTGATGCCTGGTAATCTGATCCACTACTGCCTGACTCCGGAGTTCAGTATCTGAGTCGGGTGACATAGAATCCCCAATCAAGAAAGTAACCTTTGTCTGGGTTGCCTCACAAGAAAATGCAGCTGTTACAAGTTTATCCGGAGGTTTTTTTTCCACAACCATTCCTGTGGATCTGAACACTTTACCTGTGTGATTACCTGAATCTAGCAATTCCTCACTCTGCCATGATTCCTCTGCAGGCTCTAAGCTTGACTTTGACAATGCACATCTGTCCACTGGAGCAGATCCTGTGCAAACAACTGTTTCTAACTTGGTGTCAAGGCAAGTTCTTAATTTATCTCTGCACTGTTTAACATCAACAGCATTTTCTTCTTGGCAGTCAGAAGAAGGAGAAATCATTCGGCACTCGTTTGAATTTCCTAGCAGCTCCTTAGAGCTGTTTTGAAAACCTTCTCTCTCTTGTCGCAAAACATTCTCTATATTTTGCCCAAGGAGTGGATGACTGCAATATTTACAGTTACAATTAGGAGTCCTTGTTTCTTCTGACTCTTTAAAGAGCAAACTGTTTTTGTTTCTATGCATTGTAATAAGCACATACTCAGATTCTTCGATTTCACCTTTCTCTAAAGTGGTTGTAATTACTGTGCCTGGCATAACAATGGCTTCATCGTCTCCATTTTCTAAAAGATGGGTTTCTTGAAGTTCAGAGCATCTTATGAAGTAAGTAAGAAAATAAAGCAGCCTCTGGACCATGTCTTGTCGTTTACCAACTACCACAGTCCTTGCTAACCGTACAGGAGAGCCAATAGCGCCATACAAGTCTCCTGAAATGGAAAAATCAGTTAATGGACACATCCTCTACTCATACTAAGCAGGCTATTTTCAATTATCAGAAACCCACTATTATTTTATGAGGGGTAGTTCAGATTTTACTCTTGGTTCCTTAATAGGTTAGTGATTATTCAGGACTAGGATGAGATGAATGGTCTTAACCAAAGAGAAAGGTGAATGGATAGGCTTTCTACCTTCCTCCTTAAGCAGCTGCTAATAAGGTGCTGAAACCATAGCAAACAGTCAGTTGTGAAAGTCACCAAGAACATGCTCTGTGCCAGTCCCCTTGCAGAGCACTTTATATGGGTGGAGAAGTACTGACTGAAGTATTATGTGCAAAAGCACATCTGCTGGGGACCAAGGAGAGGAAAGGAGTAGTAGTGAAATGGAACAGAGCTGAAGTAGTCACATCACACACTTAACCTTCCTTGATTTAAATCATATTCCTGAACTTCGCCTGTTGCTGCCCTACCAAAGACCTCACCTTAGCTCCCGTGTTTTTAAAAGCCCATTTTCCTTTCCATTCCATTCCCTAGAGGGTTGGGTACTCAGGATAGACCCAAAAGGGCAACACATTTAGCCCTGTGATTCATTTTCACTTGTTATCCATATTACACATGTAGAGCCATTACATTTAAAAAAGGAGGAGAGGGGTTTAATTCAAGTTTTGCAAGTTGTCAGTATACCCATTTAAAGAATCTCTATTTTTACTTTATAAGAACCCCATACTTTTTAAAGGAACAAACATAAATAGGTCTCAAATAATATACTACAGACTGTACTATGATAAATTTTCTCCTTTGGCTAAGAAACTGGCTCTAGTACCATCATGCCACTGTTCAAAACTACTCCCAAGGTTTCCACTAACAACCAAATAAATTGAAACTGCTTTGGTATGGTAAATGAGTCTTTCATGACTGGTTCCACTTTACTTTTCCAGGTTTATCTTCTGATAGTTTCCCTATTTTACCTTTATTCACCCAAAGTCCCACTTAAACTGGACCCCTGAATGTGCTCAGCACTTTTAACACCTAGATCCCTTTACTCATGCTATGTACTTTCCCTTCCCTCTGTATCTCTGCCAGTCCAAAGTTTCCCACCCAAGCATCCTCCCTTGGACAAAAGTAAGCTTCCCTAATTGAACTCCCACTAAACTTTTCATTTCTTATAGTTCCTATTTGAATTATCATTATTGTCCACATATACTTTACCTACAGTATAAGACTGTCACTTCTTAAAGGCAAGGACTAGATATCATTCGTCTTTATACCCTCCAGGGTTCTTTGCACAGAGCCTTAGATATATTGTGCATTCAATAAATGACTGTAGAATTGAAAACAGATTTGAAATGTTCAAATTAAAAAAAAAACCTACTGAATTACTTGGTTTGAAAAAAGGTAAATTAATATTCATACAATGAAATACTACTTAGCATTAAAAAGGAATGAACTATTAATACATACAACATAGGTGAATCTCAAAATAATTATGTTGAATGAAAGAACTCAGACCAAACAAAAGCACTTAAGTGTATGATTCCATCTATATAAAGGTCTAGAAAATACAAACTAATCTACAGAGACAGAAAGCAGACCAGTGGCTACCTGAGTATAAGGAACAGTGAAAAGGCAGAGTAGGGAGGAATAGGAGGGAGGGATTACAAAGGGCATGAGGAAACTTTTGTAGTGATGAATATGTTCACCATCTTGATTTTGGTGATGGTTTCAGAGGCATATACATTTTGACATATATATCAAAATATATATGGAAAGGAAAAGGAGGGAGGAAAGGGAGGGAGGGAGAGAAGAAATAGAAAGAGTAGGAATGAGAGAGGGACATTGGTTGGTTATATGAATTAATAAGCCACATTACAATCTGCCTGGCAAGCTCACTCACCATAACAACCTAAGGGAAGTTTAAGTTTCTACCAGGTCACCAAAACATTCTCACCACACTCCTCCCCACATCACCAAATAGCAATAGACTAAGAGTTGGAGTAACAGCAACTACATTTACCAGCCACTGTCCTAAGCACTGTTCTCACAGTATCTCATTTACTTTTCACATTATGAAGTATTTACTATTTATTTTATTTTATTTTTCAGCCACACTGCACGGCTTGTGGGATCTCAGTTCCCCAACCAGGGACTGAACCCGGGCCAAGGCAGTGAAAGCACCCAATGCTAACCACTAAACCACCAGGGAACTCCCTGTACTATTTACTATTATCCCCACTTTATAAATAGGGAAACTGTGATTCAAACATGGTCTGCCTGACTCCACAGCCTATGCTTAAATTTAAGCACCATGCTACACTGACTTCCTAATAACTGTCAACTCATCAACTAACCCCTCTCTCCTGTCACCCATTTATTTAGTGGGGTACCAAGCACTAAGAGAAAGATTTTCAAAAATTACTCAACAAAGGTGGAACAATGGAAACCTCAATGACTGCTTCTCAGTTAAACAGATTTATTCTAGCGATCATAGGTGACTTTGTTGATTCATTCTTTCTAGGCAAAGTACCTAACACAAAACACCCTGAAGATCCTGAAGTTACTAATAAACCAGCCATCATCCTGCTCCTTTTGTTCCAGCTGCAGGTCACTATAAGGAATGATAGTAAACATAAGATGGGGATAACACAATTTAGCAGTTATGAAATAACAAGTAAGGAAGAAATACTTTAGAAAGGAAGGGGGAAAAGAGAGCACTTAATTTTTCTCTATTTATTTTTGCCATAAAGTAACTCCAGACAGTTACACAAAAGTCTAAGTATAATGCATAAATGTAAGCGTTTTCAGAATACATACCCAGTTGTGCCCAAAGTGGGTTATACGGATGAGTCTTTGCCAACATGTCCACACTCTGAGAGGAATGTTTTTCTAAAAATATTTTTATAGGTGGCTGTCCATTTGGCATGACTGTTGGAACCCAGGCAAGATGATTGGTCAGAACTGCAGTAATGAGTGCTGGCAAGAATCTGAAAACAAAATTCATCCTATCAGATTCTAATCTGCTTTCATAAAACCTCAAGCAAAATTCAGTGACAGAATAAAGCAGAGAGGGTACATGGCCAAACATCATAAAAAACGAGAGGATAGAAGGAAGGATAGGTATATCACCAGGATGAAAACAAAAGTTAATAAATTTTTTTGGTTGGGTAGGAGTTAAAAGAAAAATCCTTAAAATAAAGACAGCATTCACAAGGAGCTATTTCTACTCATAATTAAAAAACAAAAATGCCATTTTACTTGAGAAACTATGGATTCTTTTCAGTGTTTAAAATACACATATATTAATGAATCAACCAGTAAGTCTATACATATCCAAATTACTGAAAAGGAAAATGAAGGAACGTATTAAGAAAACTTTGTTTACCATCAAAGAGAATAAAAACACCCAAATTACTCATCTAGATTCTAAGAATTTGATGATTAAAAGAAAACAATATGATAAAGTACCACACTAAAAATGTATTATTGGAATCCTGGCACTTCCCTATATATTTTTAAACTTCTTTTCTATAGAATGAAACCGCATTCATGGATACAATTCACGAAAAATGGGAAGCCTCAGAGATTTCTGTAAGATGTCAGGAATTTTAATTTAACACACAATTAAAGACATTTTTACTGTTTCTCATTCATAAGGTTCTTTGGTCTTCTTCCATACCCTGTCTTGTAATTATCTTAGTTATCTTTTATAATTCTGTCTTGCTCATTAATAATATGAAATAATTCCAAAGATAATGATTAATTCTTTCACCTTTGTACTTGAACTTGATCACAATCTAGATATCTAGTTATAGTAAACAATAGCTAAGATATTTAAGGGAAGGAAGGGAGGGAGGGAGGAAGGGCGGGCCATACTGATTTTTGGAAGCATTTTCCATTAGAAAAGTAAACTCCTTCATGAAACGATGGCAAAGCTGGTTCTTTTCTGGAGTCCCCGACATCATTGTAAGCCAGACAGGCTCTCCAATTCGTGGCATTGTGTAAAGATTACAAATTGTTGTTCTAAAAAGAGGAAAATACATTATAAAATTCATAGTTCCCAGAATTACATACTCTTTATAATAATGTTGCTGGCTTGCGTCTTACATCTAGATTATTAAAGCTTTTGAGAAAGACAATGAATCAAGTCTTTCTTTCTTTGTCATCAGCATAGTACCAAGGGAAAGGTTTTATACATGACCTCAAAATGTGTTGGTTCTGGCACTGGCTCTGCCCTCAAAGGCTGTGTGCCTTTGGGTAAATTATTTCCCTACTTTAAGCATCAGTTTCCCTTACCTATAAAAGGAAAGGACTAGGTGATTTCTAGAACCTTTCCAGTTCTACGTTTCCAAGGTTATAAGCTATACCTAAATATATTGCAAATAATCAACATAGAAAACAAAAATATTAAGTGGGGTAATAGCTTATGGATAATATCCACTCACAACAATAGTTTATCAGCATCATTTTATTGCCTAGGCTGAGACTCCTTAGTAAAGTTCTGAAGAATGACGAGGACACTATATATGTATGCTATATGACTCAATTTTCTGAAGTTTTCCCTTGAATCAACACAAAAGAGGATTACTGCAGTTATCACAGTGCTTTTCTGGCTGTCTCCTGCATTTATTTAGATAATAGCTAGTCTTGTGACTTGCACTCTTTACTAACGGCTTTAAAGGATACCTTTAAGATGTCAATTCTTTTCCTTTTACATTAATATCTGTTCAGCAGAGTCCTATACACTCATCACACGAAGCAACTCCTGCAAAGTTGGGGCTTAAGAACCTAGTCAATCTCTTAGAAGCTACAGAATGGTGTCCTACTTTCTACTCTCTAGAATAGTGCTGTCTTACAGAACTTTTAGCAATGATAGGAATGTTCTATATCTGTGCTGTCCAACATGGTAGCCACTAGCCATATGTGATTACTGAATACCTGAAATGTGGCCAGTGTAACTGGGGAATTGGATTTAAAATTTTATTTAGTTGTAATTAAATTAATTTAAATAACCACATGTGGCTAATGGCTACTGTATTAGAGAGTACAGCTCTAGAAAGTTCTCTGAGATCTCCACAAAGCTCTGATACCTACCTCAGTATAATTTTCTAATACCCAGAATTCAAAAAAGGAAAAGAATTCTGTTGCTTGTACAAGTTTTATTAAATCTCAACCCAATATGAACATGATACATTACCATAGATAAAAGTGACAAATACAGGTCACATTAATTAATTTTTAGTAGGGCATAAAATGACTGCTGAGAACTTAAAAATAAATGAATGGAAAAAAATTACAGGTATCTTACAGAGATAAATATGACGAATATAAACTAGCGATATTGAAAATGCTTATTTTTTAAAGACTATTAAAGATGTCCAGATAGGATGGAAAACTGAGCACAAATGTGTATCCCCTTTCAGTTCTAATGCCCCAAATGAACACTACTTAATGATTTAAAAACAAATGAATCACTACAACAAATAGAACTGAAGAGGAACTTTAGTGAAAATTAAAATTACAGATTTAATACAATTCTAGAAGACAAAACACAGAGAAGAATGTTAACTGAAGTACTAGGGTAGAGGAAGATAATGGGTTATGGTGCTCATGGTGGCGGGGGGATGTACAAAGAGGAGCTAATTTACCCCACTGAAGCAAGAAGAGTCTAAGGACTCAAAAGTGCCTGCTAAAAAGGAGGGCAGCAGCTATATAGGACTATAAACTAAGCGACTAATTCAAGGGCCATAAGTGGTTGGTGACCCCCCTACCCTCCACCCCATTTTCCCACAGAATAACAAAGATAGGAGAGCAGATGTAGCAACTGACCATCCCAGAGAAATGACATGCCCAAACCCTCCCTGATATTTGAATCTTTCACAATACACAAACAGATATACAGTAAATCTTGTGATATTAAAATTCCATGGCAGAGGCAGCAATTATGGGGAAAAATGTTTAAATATGCTCCTTCAGGCTGTGAAAATGAAAAAAAGTTGAGCAACACTGCTCTAAAGTGAGGTTCTCCAATCTGCATTCCCAACTTGTATTTTGGTGCCTCATTCTCACTCTTAATGGGCAACCAAAATATTGATATATAGAGAAAGCCTCCAAGGAAAGAGGGGCACAAACAGAAAGACAGAAACACACACACACAAAATGACTCCAGAGGAAATAGAAAATAATAAAGTCAGAAAAAGAGAAGAAAAACATGAAAGAAAAGAGACATAGAAGATCAATCCAGGAGTGTCAGTTTCTAACAAAATATATTGAAGAGAAAATAGAGGAAAATAAATTATCAGAGAATACAGATAATTTACCAAAGTTGAAAGACAAGATAGTGCTAAAACTATACTGAAAGGCTATAAGGACAAAGCATCAGGTATGAATTTACGGCAGGAGATAAATATGCTCTACAACTGATAAATCAAGAAACAGCTACACTAGGTATACTATTTAATAATATGGAGGTAAACAACAAAAGGAATATTTAAGAGTTAAAAGAGAATGTTCTTCAGCAGTAAGAATGGGGATGGGAGAGGTAGGACAGGGCTCATTTATTTTTCATTATTAGAACTGTCAGTATATATATTTTTTTGCTTCTTAACCACGTGAATGTACTTTTGAATAAAATAAACTTTTTGATTAAATGAATGAACAAGCTGATCAATTCATTTTCCATGAGTTTCTTCAGCATAATATTGTCTACTACAAGTCTATGTGTCATGGGCCAGTTATATCACTAACATTAGCATAGTGGGTCACTGAGGACATTAGCTTTATAGTGTTTTGCTGTTTAAAAATATGTACCATGGGGCTTCCCTGGTGGCACAGTGGTTGAGAGTCCGCCTGCCGATGCAGGGGACACGGGTTCGTGCCCCGGTCCAGGAGGATCCCATATGCCGCGGAGCAGCTGGGCCCGTGGGCCGTGACCGCTGGGCCTGCACGTCCAGAGCCTGTGCTCTGCAGTGGGAGAGGCCACAGCAGTGAGGGACCCGCATACCGCAAAAAAAAAAAAAAAGTACCATGACCTTGGAGTGTATCAAGTGCAAAGGCGGCAAAAAAAATTAATTACGCAATAGTGCTTCTCACTATACACAACTCTGTGCTGTCATTAACAACGAAGAAATAATGATGCTTGCTCTCTTCCCCCTTTAACGGTTATTTCCTACCCATGAATGGTAAGAAGGGCAAGTATTTTCAGTCATCTGACCCTTTATTTTTCTTGGTCTGTCCCTACAGAATGGAACACTCCTTCAGTTGGCAGGAAACTGTTGACATGATTTAGCTTTCACTGATATGCATGAAGTCTAAGTAAAAATCCAAGTACTTCACCTCTGCCAGGCACCAATGCTAACTAAACATACTTTTTACTTCTCTAGGTTTCAGGATTGCGTCTACATGTCCTTCCTCTTCTCAACTACCCGAAATTCATTAATCATCTGGTTTCAAATAATCACATAGTTTAAAAATTACCTAACTGCTAGATATAAATAAACACTTAATTTAAAAATCAAGTATGACAGCTTCTCATTATTTGCAGTAATGTTCTATAAAGTCAACACAAACACTGAATTAGTGGACTGTGAATCACTGTTCCTGAGAGAAATACAGAGTTACGTTCCTGTGAGTCTCTGGTCATAACATTTTTGTCAATCCATCAATACATAATCTTGTTTTATGTGAGTTTTTGTTTAAAGACACTTTAATATTCTGTTAATTTGTTAATAATGAATTCACATCCAACAGCACTATGACTCATGCCTTAACAAAGCTCACCTAACATGTATTTTTCTCTGTAAGGCACATCACAACCTTCTTGCACTTAGAAACATTAGACAGAATTTCAACACTATGCTTGTGCACAATCTTTTTTTAATTGAAGTATACTTGATTTACAATGTTGTGTTAGTTTCTAGTATACAGCAAAGTGGTTCCATTTTATATATATATATATATATATATATATATTCTTTTCCATTCTGGCACACAATATTGAATACAGTTTCCTGGGATATAACAGTAGGACCTTGTTGTTTACCTATTTTTTATATAGCAGTGTGTATCTACTAATCCCAAACTCCGAATTTTATCCCTCCCCTCCCCCTTTCCCCTTTGGTAACCATAAGTTTGTTTTCTATGTCTGTGTGTTTCTGTTTTGTAAATAAATTCATTTGTGTCATATTTCAGACTCCACATATAACTGATTATCACATGGTATTTGTCTTTCTCTTTCTGACTTACTTCACTCAGTATGATAATCTATATTGCATCCATGTTGCTGCAAATGACATTATTTCATTCTTTTTTATGGCTGAGTAGTATTCCATTGTATATATATGTACCACATCTTCTTTATCCATTCATCTGTCAATGGACATTTAGGTGTTTCCATGTCTTGGCTATTGTGAATAGTGCAGCTATGAACATTGGGGTACATGTATCTTTTCAAAATTAGAGTTTTCTCTGGATGTGTGCCCAGGATTGGGATTCCTGGATCATATGGCAATTCTATTTTGACTTTTTCAAAGAAACTTCATACTGTTTTCCATAGTGGGTGCACCAACTTACATTCCACCAACAGTGTAGGAGGGTTCCCTTTTCTCCACATCCTCTCTAGCATTTGTTATTTGTAGACTTTTTAATGATGGCCATTCTGACCAGTGTGAGGTAGTACTACCTCCATGCCCTTTCGATTTGCATTTCTCTAATAATTAGGGATGTTAAGCATCTTTTCATGTGCCCTTGTCCATCTGTATGTCTTCACTGGAAAAATGTCTTCAAGGGCCAATTTTCATTGCAAAACCACTAACAAGGGGCTTCCCTGGTGGTGCAGTGGTTGAGAGTCCGCCTGCCGATGCAGGGGACACGGGTTCGTGCCCTGGTCCGGGAAGATCCCATATGCCACAGAGCAGCCGGGCCCGTGAGCCATGGCCGCTGAGCCTGCGCATCCGGAGCCTGTGCTCCGTAACGGGAGGGGCCACAACAGTGAGAGGCCCGTGTACCG